AGGATTTTGTACACATTACTAATAGGAGTGTAAATTGATGTCATTCCATTGATTACTAATTCAGTATTATCTTCTAGAGTTAAAGATTCATGTGCTCCATGACCCAGCAGTTCTTCTCTAGTGAAGCACTTGCACGTGTCTAGTAGGAGACATGTACGCAAATGTTCAGAGCACCACTGTGTACAATGGGAAAATCCTGGAGACAACCCAAATCAAATGGATGCTTAAATTGCAGTATATTCATATGTGAAATATACCAGTCACGCCAAGTGAGCATATAATAATATGTATGACTCTCAGTAATATGATGTTAAGTGGAAAAAGTCTGTGAATATGATATAACCTCATATCTTTCTCATAAAGTTAAACATAAGAAAAATAAATTTAAAAATAGAAAAGCAATGAACCTACCTAAATAGAAAGCAAGAAGATGGTGATCATAGTTTGCAGAGTCCAGGGGAGGGAAGCAGAACAACACAATGAGTGTGCAGAGATGTTGTTTGCTGGGAAGTGCTTAGCTTTTGTTTTTCATGGTGCATTTGGAGATGCTTATTATTGTATAGTATAACTAGCAAAATAAGTATAAGTGGGTCATGGAAAGACCAATGAAGATTGTGTTGTGGAACCACTATTACAGTTAATCCAATTTTGTGCATCTGAGGCTCATAATAAAGAAAAAAATTACCATATTTTTAAAGAGAAGATAAACATCAGTAATGCAGGTTTTTTTTTTTTGACATTTTAAAAGTACCACCTCAAATCATCCTTAGTAGCAATAGTGCTATAAATGTTATGGAAACCACTGCCCTGACATACAATAATGAACAAGAGACAGTTTTTGCTTTCAAGACTTTCATGGTTAGTAGAGAAAGTAAAATAAGTTTTTAATTATAATAGAATTATCTAAGTGATAAAATAATTATAAAGTAAGAAAGTATAGAGCCATGAAACTAATCTGTGCATGGAGGAAGTCATTTTACTTCCCAGGAGGATGTAAAATCTAACATTGGGCTTGATAGGGAAGGATATTTTAGGTAGAGAAATCTCATGTGCAAAGGCCGATGGGTTGCTGAAAGTTGTTCCTTTTGGCTGAAATAGGGAAGGGCTAGATGGGCAGAGTCGGGACTTGGAGGAGCCTTATAAACTATACAATGGGCTTGGGGCATTAACTCAAGAGGCATTGGGATCCAATGAGGAGTTGAAGCCAGGGACTGATGCAATTACACATTTCACTTCATGAATAGCAGGACAGAAAGCAGAAAGGTTCAATTAGATTAGAGCCTGCAGCAGTTGTCCAGGTGGACATGGTGGTATCTATTACAGTTTGGATGAAGAAAAGTAGGCAGATTACATTAACTATTGAGGAGACAGAATAATTAGGACTCAAAGATGGACTGGATATAGGGCCCAAAAAAGAGGGCCAAGTCAAGAATGATTTTGACTTTGGAGAGCTGGGAAGATGGTGGTGCCCAATGTTGAAACTTGCAACAATGGGAGAAAGAACAAGGATATTTTGTAGAGTACATTCTACTTGTCTCAGCATTTGTTCACAGTGTTTCACAATCTTTCTCAGATAAAACTGACATTTCTCCAACAAAGTATGGCTCACAAGCTCTAGAAACCACAAAGATCCTCTTCTTATTTTCAAACACCTGCACTGAATTGTTAAAGACCCACTTGCAAAGTATCATGGAAAGAAACTTTCAATGAAGACTTCAAAAATCCCTAACCTAACAAATGCTGCTTCTCTTTAATTCATACATAACTTTTTAAAATATTTTATTTTATATAATTCTTACATCATTTTTCATCTTTGTACAATGTATGCATTTTCATTTTGGTTATATTCCCCATACAATTGCACCCCCTCCTTATTTTGACTCTAGTTCTTCCTCTCCCCGCTCCTCCCTAATCAACCCCCCCCCCATAGTGTGTCTCTGGTTTATAGTTGCTTGTTGATTTTGATTATTACTTTGCATTGATTAGTCTTTTTCCTGGTCTCTTATTTTTAGATGAGTTTCTTACACAATAAAGTTTAGGGATATTGTTAACTATCACTGAGATTATAAAATTATTAACTATTATCAAGATTATAAAATGAGGTCAGAGTTCTTCTGACTTTTCTTCTTATTAACAATGTAATTACCTAAATAGGGCTCTTTACTGGACAACAGCTAGAGAGTAAAATCTTTTTGGGTATATCATAAACAATTACACAGATTCCTTTCATATAATGGGTCATAAGCATGTGAAGGAAGCAACATTAATTTCTTATAGAATAATTGTCAACCTGAAATTTTCTGATCCATGGTAAAATTAGAATGCACAGATCTGTGCTCTGTAAGACTCAAACCAGTGCTGTGGTCACTTTATAGATAATTCTCCTGGAAACATTTAAAGCAAGAATACCACAGGAATGATGCATTGCTAGGTTATAATGTTGGTTACCTCTATATTAGTCCCTGAAACATTATTGTTATTTGGCCTTGGGGAGAGAAGTCAATAAAAATCCATGTCCATGGTACTTTATACACAATACAGGCAGAGGGAAGAAAAGGGAAGTAAAAATAGGTTATGTAGCATGTAATACGGATCATTAATAATAGGTGCTAATTCTCATGCTGCCAATGGGTGTGTTTATGTGGATAGTAATGTCACAAAATGTTTAGCAGAATGGAATTTTGCGTCAGAGAGATTGAAGTCAAATCTTGGTTTTACCACTTCAAAAGCAATATGACTTTGAAGAGATTACTTAAACCCTCTAAATCTTAGTTTCTTCATTGATGCCATGGGGCAGTATGCTGCTTCCTTGGACTTAATGAATTAATGCATACAGAAAATCTAGACCAGCACTTGATATAGCATACGCATTCAACAAATGGGAAACTGTAAATAAAGCATCATGGATATGATGATAATGATTCATAATTGGCTAAGAAGTCTGATAGATTTAGATGTCTAAAATCAAAACATTGTAAAATACTTAAATTTGTGGGTGGTTGATATTTTTAATATGGTCTACAGGAAATACTATCATATTGCATCAACTCTAAGATGTACATTTTTAAATATTTAAATGAAGTATTGACTTTGTCTGCACAGACATATTAAATCTTGTGGAAAGGATGATAATAGAGCCAGATCCAATAATGAAGCATTCCTTTAAGAAATGCCATGTTATCCATGCTGTTGTGCAAAATGGCTGAGATAAGACAGACTCTGAACAGAAAGTTCTAGAAAATGCTTCTATCCTTTATTTTGCTTATGCTTTTCATGTTATATATGTATAATAATAATGTTTGATAAAAAATATGTCTAACTAAATAGAGAACTTTCAAATCAACATGAAACAAAAATTCTAGTGATAGAGTTTTGTTTCACAGTTTGTCAGTATTCGTCACATTGGCGCAACAATAGTGGGACAACCGACAACTGATGGCAGTTTTACTGAAAATGGTAAACAAGACAGTATGGACAGTCAAGAGAATTTAGAGAGATTAGAAAACTGTGTTGAAAAATCTTGTACATGACTATTTCCTAGCATCTTCATTGGTCATAGCCCAGGACAGAAAACAACTCAAATTTTCATAACTATTGATAGGCCAAAGGATAAACAATCAGCATTAGGTCCACATAATGGAATACTAGTCTGCAATAAAAGGGAACAAAGTACTGATACATGTCTCAGTATAGAAGATAATAATCATGCTGAAACAGATGCCAAATGAAAGTAGTACCTACTATATGGTTCCATTTTAACACAAAGCAAAACTGTGGGTGCCTATGGATGTTGGGGGTGGGATGGGAGGTATGAGTGGGTAGAATTTTAAAAGGGGGACCCTCTGGGGTCACTAGATGTGTTTACTCTCTGACTTGGTATTGGTTTCATGGATGTATACATTTGTCAAAATCAAAATAAGAAAAAAGAAAGAAAAACAGTGTTGACAAAGGCAGACTTATCTTAACCCATCCATTTTTAATTATGTTTTCTGTGGACAAATGACCATCCTACTGAGTCTCTGTAAAATGCCTATTTAAACTAAATAGCTAAGTAAATTGTGTGGATTAAATGAAATAAGGTAAATGTAATGTTCAACATCAGACTGTGCAAGTACTTCAAAATTGCAATAAGTGATTGCTGTGATAATGACCTATTGTTTTGCCTAAGAAATAAAACTACTTCCTCATGTTTTTCACAGCATGTAATGGAAAGCTATGTGTTATATCTATCACCCACATGACACAGAACTATACCTTTAAATATATGAACGTAAACTTATAAATTGAACTGGTAATTTTGTTTAAGCCTAATATAGAAATGAATGAATGAAAGCATATTCACCAGTTTTGAAATGGTCTGATTGAAAATATAATTTAAGTGTCCTACTCAAGAATTTATGTTGAGGAGACAGGTGACCATCTTTAGCTGCAACTGATAATAGGAAGAATAAATGACTGCTAATCACGAAAGTCAGGCCCTGTGTCCTAAGAATACACAGACCAAAGCCATGATTGTCATCAGCAGGGTTTCGAACATAAGGCTTGACTGGAAGATGTAAAGGCAGGCACACTAATAATTGAATTGCTGCAAGTATAGACATTATGAAGAATGGTCTCAGGTGAATACAGTCAAAGGTATTCATTCAACAACAGTTAATGAGATGACAGTGCATTATAGATATATATGTCTTTCCAAAGATTCTCCCGCATATATTCTCACACTTAAGAATTCTTTTAAAGAAAAAAATAATTGTGGTTCTCTGGTGTAGACTTAAATTGTTTATTATAATGTTACTTAAAGATATACTTATATAACTAGATATAAGTATTTGTAAAGTTAAATGGAATTTTAAAAAAGGTAAAACAAAACCAATACAGTTAAAATTGACTGCATTTATCAAATACAGTTTTGTTTTTTTTTTTTAAATAGAGGCATGTTATTTATTTATTTATTTGTTTGTTTGTTTGTTCATTTTGTTTATACATGCACTGGGTACAGTCAGAAGCGCGGGAGGGTGCGAGAATTCACCAGAGCCAGAGCGGGGAGCAGAGCAGGCAGAAGGACCGAAGTACACTGCTGAGGGGAGCAGCGGAAGGCAGGAGAGGTCTGCGCGCCATGTGGGACCCTCCTCCGGTGGCCGGGGAGCAGCCAGGGATCGAACCGGTGCTGCAGAGGCCGCGGGCAGCTTTGCAACCCAGCGTTCAACCGCTGCGCCACTGGGGAGGCCCTATCAAATACAGTTTTGCTGCTTGCAACATGAGTGAGGTATTGACTGAACAAACTTCTTTTAAGATGCCTGAATCACCAAGTTGGGTATGATGAGCCATTTTCCTGTCACTTTTCTCTATTTGCACTACTGAATAACATTTTCCCTCACTTGATGTGCATTTATTAAATCTGCCTATAGTCCCTTCTTATTTGCCTCTAATAAAAATACATGGGTCCAATGTAATCATAAACCCATTTGCAAATAAGGACACCATACTATCTTTTGCCTTGTGTCAAACACCACAAAACTCAGTGGCTTAAAACAGCAATAATCATTTATCTGTCAGAGTTTCTTTGGGTCAGAAACCTAGAAGTGGCTAAGCTATGCTGTTCTAGCTTGGATCATTCATAACAGGGGAAGTCTCAGATGGTGGCTGAGGCTGAAGTCATCTCAAAGTCTTCATCACACACAAGCCTGGTAGCTGGACTAGGAAGACAGCTAGCTAGGGCTCCTCTAGCAATCTCTATGCAGTCTCTCCATTTGGTTTCTGTTGCACTGAAGCTTCAGGAAAGCCATATTTCTTAAATGGTGGCTCTGGGCTCAGATGCATGCCTTAAGAGAGAGCGAGTCAGAGGAAACCATATTAACTTTTCTAACCTATCCTTGGATGTCATGCCATGTCATTTTGCTCATTCTGTTCATTAGAAGCAAGTCACTAATTTCTGCCTGTATTTAAGGGAAGGGAAATTAGATTCCACTTTTTGAAGGAAGGAGTGTGAGAGAATTTGCAATATATTTTAAATCCTCGAGATATTGAAATTATATGGTCATATTCAACTTCAAAATGTTCATCTGCATGATTCAGTGTATACTTTCATCTCTTTACAAAACTCTCAATTGCCTCTAATTCACAGACCCCATAAGAAAAGAGAAGCCAGCCCCCATTAGTATGTAGACTCCAGTTTGAGAAAGATTCAGTTACATACCAATTACAAGAATCTCCTTAAATCACGGGGTAGGAGAGAATGCACTTAAGAAAATGGAAGAGAAAAAAAGACCAATGGAGGGTTTCTGTGAGTTGGTGAAGGTAAAGAAATTGACTATGCATGGATGACTTGTCTTTTTAGGGGCCTTCCCAATATATTCTAATGATGGCTAAGAGATCCACTCTATAAATATCTAGGGTCTGGTGTCAAGACCTTGCAATTTTCATTCATTACTCAGTAAATATTCACTATCATACAACACACTCTTCTTGGCTCCAGGGATATGTAAGAGTAATGCAATCTCAGTCTGCATGGATATTCTGCATCAGTGAGGAGGACAGGTATTCAACAAAAAATGACAAATGTAATAATGCTGTCGAAGAGAAATTGTCAGGTACTATGGAAATACAAACTTAACCTGGGGGGATGTGGCTGGAACAGAATGACATGTAAGCTAACATACCAGAGAAGCAGCTCACCAGTTGAAGAGGGGGAGGCAGGGGGATCATCCTGACTTTTTCTATATTTGCTTTCAACCTTACATATCTCTTTCAAATGTTATATGAGAAATTTGCTGCTACTGCTGCAATAAATTTCTGGTTTCATTAAAGAATTTTGTTGATGCATAGATGGACTATGATTATGCATATCAATTTAAAGAATGATTTGGTGCTCTATAAATCCTGGTAAGACTTAACGGGAAACAGATACCCAAATGGCCAGAGCCGCTCCTGTACAAACCGTGATTTCATGAAGGCAGGCCATTGGGCCCATGATGCTTTGTACTGGCTAGTAAGGCACCGTTCACTAACTCATGCTGGGGATTCTCTGCATCAGGGTCTTCCTTCTATTAGCAATTAATTTCTCCATCTCTGCAACTGAGACTCAGGAAAAAAATGGCTCTAACTCCCACTGATTTCAGAAGCAGCCTGAGCCCGAATGTCTCTGAAGCAAGGGATTTTTGTTTTCCTTATCAGTATTTCCCACTTATCTGTAAGGCTTCTGTGACTTGAGAGATGTCTCTGCCACTCAAAACAGAAACAAGGAAGGTGAGAGAGCAAAACCTTTATTGCCTCTAACTGAGAATTCAGATGCCCTGAATACTTCTTCTCTCTGGGGAGGGTATATCTTAACCCAGCACCTGGAAGGGGATGAAAAGGTTTCATCAGAATCCTTGAATGTTGGGGCTGCATTTTCTCCTCTCTGACCCCAAGGTGTCTTGGACACAGTTGGTATGCTTCACTTTCATCAATTACTCATGAAGGTCACCTAAATTGACAGGAAAGCTGTCTATGTACTGGCTTTTGTGTTAATTCTCATATTAAAACTACTTAACTGGAGTGGGAGGTTGACTAATCAGAATGGAGGCTGGCCTTGGGGACAGATATCAGCCCTTTAATTTCTCAATTGTGGGGCAATGCAGGAGTCTGGAAGGCAGAGACTCAGGATGGTGTCATTGACTAACTGGTCTGGACATATTTAGAATTCCAGCAACTGGTGGCCCTGTATACAACAAGGCAGTGCCTGTTGTATAACTCAGTATGTGACGCAGTGCCAGATGGATCCTAAGGTGATAAGAGTGCACTGCAGAAAGAACTGGCACATTAGGGCTATTTTAGTGCCTAGATCTTTAACTTGCTATGTGACTTGGGGGACATCACTTTTCTCCCTCAACCTCAGTTTCTCCATTGGTCTATATGATTTTAAGCTTCCTTCCAGTCCTAACATTATTTTCCATGTTTCTAAAGCCGTGATGTGTTTTTGTTGTTAACAGAGACACCATTGTTCTTTGATCGGGAGCCTGGATCCTCCTACTTGGGTCTTTACCTTGCTCAGTGATCCGGGGGAGGTTAAATTTTCTAGGCCCCATTTCTTCAACTGTAAAATATGATTATAATAGAGTCTACCACATAGAATTGTGATGAGGCTTAAAAGGGCTGATGTGCAAGAATATTGAGCACCACGCTTGCTGCCACAGAACTAAGATGTTAGTTCTTATTATAGTTAATGGCTAGAGTGGGGTGAAGAACTTCAGAACAATTTTCTTCATCCTTCAGATGCACCCAGGAATATTAAGGGAATTTTTAAATCCCAAGCTGCCCTAACCCCTGAGCCCTGCTGCTGGTGTCAACAGCACATGGAGTGTGAGGGCAGCAGTGAGGCCATGTCTTTAGGATGTGATTCTTTAGTTCAGATGTTGTCTTTTTTTCCTTCTGGAGGTGCGTCTAGGCTGGAAATAGTGGTAGAGGCTCCAGACAGAACATGTCCCAGTTGGAACTTTCCTTTCTAACCTGAAGGACATGGATTTCTTAAAGAACAGTAGTGACTCAATTTCAATAGATGGAGGGAAATGGACATGTTATAAATAATTGGTTGGAAGGTGGTTGAAATCCTGAGAATTTACTGGCCCATTTCATTGAAGATTCAGGTAATATGTTGACTTCTGGCTTAGCTGGTTTACATTGTTCAAATATTTTCACTAGGACTTGTTCCTTCATCTTTTCACCTTATTTTTTGTCTCATTTGGCTTTATTTTCAAGGAGATTTTCTACCCAGGTGGTGGCTAATAAGTCCATTAGTAACTTTAGGCTTTCCCTTTACCAATTTAGCAATCTCAGCAGAAAAGGAACACTTCAAATCATGCCGGTAAAATCCCAGGTGGAATTCTCATAGATCCAACTTGAGTGATGAGTCCTTCTGTGAATTCCACCCTAGCCAGCAGAAAACTGTGCACTGATTGGTGGGGCTCAGGCCAGACCTTTCCTTGGTGCCGAAAGGAAGTATTAAATTCAATCCTCACGCACTAAGAATAGGGGGAAGGTGAGGTGTCACTCCAAAGAAAATTGGAGTGTTGTTCCTAAAAGTAGAGAGTCAAAAATCAATAGACCCTACTACAGGCATGGGTTTAGAGTAAAGAAAATCACCCTCAGATGTGCCCACAGACAAATGTTTATCTGGAAACTTTAGTGAAACAGTTGGAAAACCAAAGGTCAATCTTAGTGAGTTATTTTGCTATATTCTCTCTCTCTCTCTTTCTGTCTCTCTCTCTCAGCAACTCCTGGACATTCATTCATTCAGCAAGCCTTGGCACTACTGAGCCTTAACTCTGCTCCTGGAGCTGAGCTAGAAGCCGAGGAGAAGGGTAGAAGAGGATGCCATGGAACTGTGGTTGGAGTCTGGCTGGGAGTGAACATGCCATAGCTTTGTCATGCTGCTTTCCGACACGGATTTCAGTATTTTATCATTCTTTGCAAGTAAAGCTTGGACCTGCTTCTTTCCCTTTGAATGCCGAGGGCTTGGTTTCCAGCTTCCTTTGCTGGAAGGCATATTATGAAATAGGATGTACCTTCAGAGATGCAGGTAAGAAATCTGAACCGCATGGCCTCACATAAACCCCACCAGGTCCCTGGGAAGGGCTCCTTCCCCCTTCAACAGGTGTAAGGACAAAGGGCCCATTGTCCTGAGCAGCCTATAGGATAAATACAAAGAACAAGTCCTTGCTGGTTAATCTGCTGGCGATAAAGAGTATTGTTTTATCTCTTGCCATCTCCACAGCTCCATGGGATGAGTTCTATTGTGACACAAAGTCCACTTTGTCTTTCCAGCCCACTGAGGTGTTTCAGTTGACCTTTCATATATTCTTTGGTTGTCACAACCCAAGCGCTACGTTGGTATCATGCAGAGGGGATTATCATTTTTTTCCCCACAAGAACATGATCATCTACAGAAGTGCTATGATGCTGAAAAACAGCATGATTCTCTTCTGCTTTAAAAAATATCTTTTTTTCAGAGCAGTTTTAAGTTTACAAAACACTTGGACAGGAAGTACAGCGTTCCTATCTCCTCTCTCACTCTTCCTCAGTTTTGCTTGTTATTAGTATCTTCCATTTGTGCATCAATGTGCTGTATCTGTTCTAATGGATGAACCAATATTAATTATTAGCTAAAGTCTATGGCTTACAATAGGGTTTACTCTTTGTACTATGTCTTCGATGGGCTCGGACAAATGTAATGACGTGTACTCACCATTGTGGGGCCATACAGAACAGTTTCACTGAAAATGCCCTGTGCCCCACCAGTTCACCCCCCTGGAAGCCCCTGGAAGCCCCATTAATGTCTTTACTTTCTCTGTAAGTTTGCCTTTTCCAGAATGTCATATAGTGGGAATTATATAGTAGGTAGCCTTTTCAGATTGGTGTCTTAGTGCATTTAAGTTTCCTCCATGTCTTTTCGTGGTGTGATTGTTGTTCACCTCTTTTTCTTGTTATTACTGAATAACTTCTCACTGATATTTAAAACTTTTAGTGTATATAAGTAGTATAATTATCCCTCTTCTCACTCACTTCATCCTGGCATTTTCACCAGCATGAGATTACTAATCATCACCTAAGGCGTACTGACTACATGCTTTGAAATAATTAAATAACATTTCAGAACAATCTCAAGTACTTTTGGTAGGGCAAGAGAAATAGAAAATTCTAATTTTTCACTCACAGCCAAGCTAGAGAAGGTCTGTTTAGGCTGCAGGCAACATTGGTGTTGGCACTTTTTTTTTACCCAGAATTTATATCTATATAATTAGTGTTAGCCCTAAAATAAATATTCTTTTTTTTTTTTTCTTGTAGCAGCATCGGAATTCCCACTTACTTGATCATGAGTAACATTTGCTTTTAAACCATGAATCAAGCATTTTTCTTCTTTATTTACATTTCCTAACCAGAATCCACTTAGTCCACAAGCAGTGGAGAGCTCCCAATCACTTATCTGCTATCTGAGAGTAAGAAGCACAGATCTAGAATTCATGGGGGTGAGTTTAGTGTCTGGCTCTGTCCCTGACTAGCTATGTGGGTTTTTTTTTTTTTTTCTTTCTTTCTTTCTTTTTTTTTTTTTTTTTGAACAAATGAGCTCTCCTCTGCTGGCCTCAGCTTGCTCTTCTGTAAATCACAACTAACAACAGGCTCTACCTGGTGAGACTGCAGAGGGTAGGGATGGAGATAATCCATGGGGAAAATTAACCACAGTTCCAACAGCAAAAAACTTCCTCAAACATCCAAGCCACAGAGGGTGATTAGTCTGTGTATAAAGGAAATACCGAATTCAGTGTAGGGACTCATTAAATTATTTCTAACTGATCAAGGGGGCAGCCAGGGGAACAGTAAATCCTTTCACGTGTAGGCTCTTGGAGAATTCAGACACATGCAGATGCCCCTCAACTTAACATGGTTATGTCTTGATAAACCCACCAAGAGCTGAAAATGCATTTCATACACCTCACGTACCAAACAGCAAACAGCATAGCTTAACTACACCTACGTGCTCAGTACACTGACTTTAGGGCAATTATCTTGAGTTGCATCTCAGCAGTAACTAACTGCCTTCCTTTCCTTCTCACCAGACATAGGCCACACAGGTGGGTTTTTTGTAGACATAATGGGATGTGAAAGCACAAAATACAGAACCTAAACAAGCTAGTTTATAATATAGAGTCACAGAGTGTTTATCCTTACAAATGTGTGGCGGATAGCCAGCAGCAGCGAGCTACCCCTGCTCAGATTCACCAGAGAGTAACTTCTGCCCATCTCTAGCCTGGGAAAAGATCAAAATTCAAAACTGGAAGCCCAATTTCTATTGCATATTGCCTTTGCTCTATTGTAAGGTTAAAGAAACACAAGTCTTAGCATCATTAAATTAAGGGCCCACTGTATAGAAGTTGATTTGGGGGGGTCTAGCACCATGGAGTTCAGGCACAATTTGTACACCTCTCCCCGTGCACTCTTATGAAACCAAGACCATTTCTATTACCTTTTGGCTCTGCTGAGCCAGGGCCACTGCTAACAACGCACACTCGTCTCACTCTCAAACAGTGCATTTCCTGAGCAAGCACCTGCTTTGGTAAGGTGATTCATGGGCAACCCAGTTCCATATTTAATGAATGATTTCCTAAGGTGAACAGGAAGGATACAGAATCATTTTCTCTCTCCCTCTCATCACAGCCTGCTCCCCAACACACACCTTCCATATAAAATAACACCATTTAAGTTATTAAGATCCAGGTGGTGCAAGAAATCTCAATCCCACCCAACACAAGAGTTAATTCTATACCTTGGGCATCATTTGTTATCCTACTTTTAATTTCACTCAAGTTCATTTTGCAGATGAACACGCCCTAGCTAACGGCAGGGTAAATCAACCCAGTCACACCCTGTCTTTCTCACATCTTTGTTTATCTATAAACCATCAAAGATACAGATGAAAATCCACTAAAGGGCGCTTGAAGCAGTTATACAAAGGCCAAATAAGGTGAGAGCATAAAAGCTTGATGTAAGGAAAAGCTATTACCTAAAGTGATAGCATGCTGGCTCTGTGTGATAACACAAATACAAATTAAAGATACCAAGAAAAGATGACCAACTGTTACACTTAGGAGTGAATGCAATTGTGTAAAAAAGCAATCATGAAAGAAACCCAATAGCAATTTGAGAAAGTACCTACACAGTTACTAGGAAAAGGAAAAAGCTTAACAGTTCAGAGTCTAGACTCAGAAATGAGAGTGATTGTGAAACCTCACCCCCACTTCCCCACCTTTTTAACTTTAACTGGGCAACTCATTTAATGACCCTAAACCTCATTTTCCTCATGTCTAACATGGGGTACATTAGCATCCACCTCACAGGATGTATTTTGAATATTTAGTGAAATAAAAAACATAAAAGGGACTTGGTAATATTTTGCTCAGGTAGACTTTCAGTAAGAGCTCTCATTTTTAATATGTTAATAAGGACTGAGTCAGGAGACACATAGCCCGCAGCACTATCCCAATTTTACCAACGGAAAGCCTTTTATTCGAGGGCATCCCCTGAGGTTAATGTTTGCAAGAAACAATTCAGGAACATGCTGCCTTAAATAAATAAAACCTAAGAGCTTGGGGTGGGGGAGCTTTCGTCTTGGATATACTTGTTCGAAATTTTAAAGTTTGAAAGGGTACTTGTGCACTTTCCATTACATTCTGGGCATCGGGTTTAGGGTCAGGAATACATACTCATTTCTATGGAAAATCAGATTATACATCATGTCTACTTACAGCAGTTTTTCTGGGAACCAAGTAAAAAACAAGGATCTCCAGCTTAAATTGTCTGCAAGCTATGCAGAAGTCTGTCTACCTGCTCCTGGGTCAGATTTTTCCCTGGTGTCCCATGAACACAGAAGACATCACCAAACCCTTTGGGAGCTACCATGAGTCTGGAAGAAGTATCTTGAGCCTCTCTGGAGAAGAGTAAACTGCATGCAAGATTATGGATATTTTATGATCTGTTATAGATGGAAATTCCAAGGTGCAGGCTTGCAGTTTGATTTTTTTTTTTTTTTAATGCAAGGAAGCTCAGCAGCGAAACTCATTTTCCACAACTCCCAAAGTGGTTTTGTAATAAATCTGTGAATTTAATCAACCTCCTCTGTAGCAACAATCTCCCCTAATTGGGTACTTGTGAGGGATAATAGACATGATGACAAAAATACCTCATCTTTGAAAGGAATCTGGAGTCTCATCAATAACATTGATAATAAAGCTTTAAACCCCTTCCTCTCTCCCTGCACACACCTACATACACACCAAAATGGAGCAAGGGCCCCCAGTGCATACCCTGGTCCCACGTTCATCCTGTCTCAGGCACTGTTTGTCTTTTAGAACATCTCTCTCTCCTACTTCCTGATCAAAAGTAAGAAAATGAAAATCCCAAAATGAAAGCCCAATTGTCTCCAGCACCATATTGGCCAGTAACTAAGTGGACTACTAAGTAGCCTTCTAGAAGATTACCGAACAATTACAATGGAGTAATGGGGAATTGCCTTAGAAACACAGAACCCAAAAAACACAGTTGTGTTTCCTTTCTCTTTCCCTGGTAGGCAATTCCCACTCCTCTGTTGATTCTGGCAGGAAAGGTGGGGCTAGGAAGGGCCCCTGCCGGGAATGTGATACACACAGCTGTTGGCCATCAGCTAGCACAGCAACCTAGTGAAAAAAAGTGGGGATTAGAGCTAGATACTTCAGGTTCCCCAATTACTGGAATACATAGGACCTGTAGATCTAGTAAGTGTGTGTCCTGGTTAGGGGACTAGGACAAAATAAAGAGAAAAATTTGGAAGCAGGCCTTTTAGAGTTGTTTTCGGCATTTGAAGGGGTTGGAAAACAATAGCAAATGCAACTTAGTTTTTCCACCCTGGAAAATGCGAGAAGCAAAGCATGGTAATTGAATTAGAAGAAGAGGAAAAGGAAGAATTTCACAAGGATGTCATCTGACCAAGTTTCATCCAACCGAGTCTGGCTTTCCAGTGCCCTCTCCACCCTGCAACAGCAAGTCCCC